CAACTGATTTTTTGGAGTTGATCTTGTATCCTGCCACGTTACTAAAGCTGTTTATCAGCTGTAGGAGTTCTTTGGTAGAATTTTTGGGGTCGCTTATGTACACTATCATATCATCTGCAAATAACGAAAGCTTAACTTCTTCCTTTCCAATACGAATCCCCTTGATTTCCTTATGTTGTCTTATTGCTATTGCTAGAATTTCAAGCACTATATTGAAGAGGTATGGCGAGAGTGGACATCCTTGTCGTGTTCCTGATTTTAGTGGGATGGCTTTGAGTTTTTCTCCGTTTAATTTAATGTTAGCTGTTGGCTTGCTGTATATAGCTTTTATTATATTTAGGTAGGACCCTTGTATCCCTATTCTCTCCAAGACCTTTATCATAAAGGGGTGTTGAATTTTGTCGAATGCTTTTTCCGCATCTAGTGAAATGATCATATGGTTTTTTTCTTTCAGTTTATTTATATGGTGGATTACATTGATAGATTTGCGTATATTGAACCAGCCCTGCATCTCTGGGATGAAGCCTACTTGATCATAATGGATAATTTTTCTTATGTGTTCTTGGATTCGGTTTGCCAGTATTTTATTGAAGATTTTTGCGTCGATGTTCATGAGTGAGATCGGTCTGTAATTCTCTTTCTTGGTTGGGTCTTTTTGTGGTTTTGGTATCAGGGTAACTGTAGCTTCATAAAAGGAATTTGGCAATGACTCTTCTGATTCTATATTGTGAAATACCTTAAGGAGTATAGGTATTAATTCTTCTTGGAAGCTCTGGTAGAATTCTGCATTGAAACCATCTGGTCCTGGGCTTTTTTTCAAAGGGAGATTTTTGATAACCATTTCTAATTCTTCGCGAGAAACCGGTCTATTTAGATCATTCACCTGGTCTTGGTTTAGCTTTGGTATATGATACTTATTTAAAAAAAATGTCCATTTCTTTTGTATTTTCCAGTTTTGTGGCATACAGGCTTTTGTAGTAAGATCTAATGATTCTCTGAATTTCCTCTGTGTCTGTGGTTATGTCCCCCTTTTCATTTCTGATCTTATTTATTTGCGTGTTCTCTCTCTGTCGTTTAATTAGTTTGGATAGGGGTTTGTCGATCTTGTTGATTTTCTCCAAGAACCAGCTTTTTGTTTCATTGATTCTTTGGACTGTTTTCTGTGTTTCTATTTTGTTGATTTCAGCCCTCAGTTTTATTATTTCCAGTCTTCTACTTCTCCTGGGCGCGTCTGCTTCTTTTTTTTCTAGAGCTTTCAGGTGTGTTTTTAAGTCCCCAATGTATGCATTCTCCGTTTTCTTTAAGTGGGCACTTAGTGCTATGAACTTTCCTCTTAGCACTGCTTTCATTGTGTCCCATAGGTTTGAGTATGTTGTCCCTTTATTTTCATTAAATTCAAGGAAGACTTTAATTTCTTTCTTGATTTCTTCCTTGACCCAGGTGTGGTTCAGTAGTTGACTGTTCAGTTTCCATGAGTTTGTCGGTTTTTTTGGGGGCAGCATGGTTGTTGCCTTCTAACTTTAATCCGTGATGATCTGATAAGACACAGGTGGACACTGATATTTTTTTGTATCTGTGGAGGTTTCCTTTGTTTCCGAGTATGTGGTCAATTTTTGAGAAGGTTCCATGAGCTGCAGAGAAGAAGGTATATTCTTTCCTATTTGGGTGGAATGTTCTATAGATGTCTGTTAAGTCCATTTGCTTCATTACCTCCAATAATTCTCTTAATTCTCTATTAGGTTTCTGTCTGATTGACCTGTCCCTTGGAGAGAGAGGTGTGTTGAAGTCTCCTACTACTAGTGTGTGTGGTTTGATGTCTGCCTTGAGTTCTAGTAATATTTCTTTTACATAAGTAGGTGCTTTTATATTGGGGGCGTATATATTCAGGATTGAGACGTCCTCCTGATGAATTGTTCCTGTTATGAGTATAAAGTGACTGTCTCGGTCTCTTCTGATTGATTTTAGTTTGAAGTCAGTTTTGTTAGAAATTAGTATGGCCACACCTGCTTTTTTCTTAGGACCATTTGCTTGAAACACCTTTTCCCAACCCTTTACTCTGAGTAGGTGCCTGTCTTTGTGGTTGAGATGTGTTTCTTGCAAACAGCAGAATGTTGGATCCTGTTTTCGTATCCAATCTTTTAGCCTGTGCCTTTTTATAGGTGAATTGAGCCCATTAATATTAAGTGATATTAATGACCAGTGGTTGTTTACTCCGGTTATTCTTATTGCTTTTGGTAGTAGAGATTGTGTGTCTCCGTTCTTTGAGATGTGCTCGTGAAGGGTCATTAGATGCCTGGGTTATTGTAGGCAGTGTTGGCAGTGTTGGATTCCTTGGGTTGCGATTTTCCTTCTATTACTTTCTGTAGGGCTGGATTTGTGGCTACGTATTGTTTAAATTTGTTCTTATCCTGGAATGTCTTGTTTTCTCCGTTGATAGTGAACGATAGCTTGGCTGGGTATAGTAGTTTGGGTTTGCATCCATGGTCTCTTAGCTTCTGCAGAACCTCTATCCAGGACCTTCTGGCTTTCATAGTTTCCATCGAGAAGTCAGGTGTAAGTCTGATCGGTTTACCTTTATAAGTTACTTGCCCTTTTTCTTTTGCAGCTCTTAATATTCTTTCTTTAACCTGTATATTTTGTGTTTTGATTATTATATGGCGAGGAGATGTTTTTCTTTGATCCAGTCTGTTTGGTGTTCTGTATGCTTCTTGAATATTTAAATGAATATCTTTCTTTAAGTTGGGAAAGTTTTCTTCCATAATTTTGTTGAAAATATTTTCTGAGCCTTTGAGCTGTGACTCTTCTCCTTCTTCTATTCCTATTATTCTTAGGTTTGGTTTTTTTATTGTGTCCCATAGTTCCTGAATGTTTTGTGTTGAGAATTTGTTGGCTTTGCTGTTTTCTTTGATCTGTTCGTTTATTTTCTCTATGGTGTCCTCAGCATCTGTGAGTCTTTCTTCTAGCTCTTGTATTCTATTGATTATGCTTGTTTCTGTAGACTCTGCTCGTTGGCCTAGATTTTCCATATCCAGCTGGTCCTCAGTTTGTATTTTCTTCTTTGCCTTCATTTCAGTTTTCAATTCTTGAACTGTTTCCATTACCTGTTTGATGGTTTTTTCTTGGTTTCCCAGGGTATCATGTACGTATTTACTCATTTCTTCAAACTTTTTGTTATACTTCTCATCCATTTCTATAAGGGCATTTTTTACATGTTGTTTAAGGGACTCCATTATCTTCATAAAGTCGATTTTTTCCACTTCTTCTGTGTTAGGTTGTTCAAATACTTCTGTTGTAAGATCATTGGGTTCTGATGTTTTCATGTTGTTTTTCGGATTATTGGGTGAGTTCTTGCCTTGGCGCCTGCCCATCTCCTCCTATTGATCCTATCCAATGGATCCTTTAGAAACCGGATCAGTTTTCCCTGCTGGCCAAGGGCTCCGCTTACAAAATGCCCTCACTCTCTTTTGTGGTTCCTGCTGCAGGCCAAGAACCCTCTCACCCCTCCGAAGGATCTTCAGGACAGGACCAGGCTCCCCTTGTGCCAGTGACCTGGCCAACCGAAGGCCTACCTCTTTGATTCAATTGTAGTAGGGCGATCTGCTCTCCTTATTGCACGCCTGTCCCAGCTGCTTGGGTCTGGCCGCCGCTCAGCAGCGTCTGGCGCCCCCTCCGTGCTGCCGCTGCTGTGCCTCTGTGCGTCTGGCGCCGCCGCCGCTGCGCCTCTAAGATGTTCTTCTTAATGTAGTTTGGAGAGCTCTAGATGAGGCCTTCTTTATGAGATTTTGGAAGCATTTTATCTCCTAAACTACACAATGTCCAGATTACCTCCAAAACCCTATATAATTGTGCAGGAGGTTAAGTAGTTCCCCTAAGTCATGAGCGCAGGCAACCTAAGTTCTTTTGCTGAAGTATCCATAAACAACAAACAATAACTAAAGAAAACTTTTCTGTGCTTGTTAAATTGTCTGAAATTATATTAGAATTCATGGATACTTTTCTTTGAAGTTCTTGAAGTCTAATTGCAGTGAAAATAAGAATCATAGCCTACCAGAAACATAAGACAATGAAGCAGGTTTTGTTGGTTTTGTTCTCTTTGTTTTTCTTTGTTTTGGTTGAGTTCAATTTGAACACTGGCTCATTTTTCTGAGATCTCTTAATTCCATTTTTCAAAAGCTGTTGGCACAGGTTGAGTTTCATAGGTTGGTCTGCATCCATTTACTCAGGAGGGTAGGATTCCAATAGGCAGTTGCTTCCTAAGAAACAGAAGGGCTTCTTTTTTAATACAAAACCTCTTGAAACTTGGTTTGGAACATATATGACCATGGATATAAAATCTGAAAGTTTAGGATTATTTTTTGTATTCCACACACTGTGTACCCACAGATCAGCATAGATCTGGAAGCATACATTTTCATATAAAAATAACCTCACTATAAAATACAAGCCAAGACTGGCTGAACACTTCATCAATTTGCAAGGCAATAATAGAGGTGTTGCAAGAAGGCAAGGTCCCAGCCACTGGAGATTGCAACCAGCAATCATTTGCCATTTTCCAGATATTACTATCTATGACATTAACTGATAGAGAACAAAAAGGAGATTTTCTCCCTTTTCTCCTTGATTCCTAATAAGATAAAGACATACAGGGCTCTAGGAGCTATCCCTGGTCCTCTTGCCTGAAAGAGTAAGCTAAATACTTCCATTGAAAACCCATAACTTATAGGAGAAGATTGTCATTTATTATAACACGCATTAAAATCTTCAGCAAAATAACAAAAGACACATATCATCTTCTGTGTTAATCAATAAATCTTTATATTTATGTAAAGTAAATCATTTTATCTTTAGGAAAAAGTGGGAAGAGCTAGAATAGTAGCATGTAGGAAGGAAAGGGTGAATCATCTTTTGGGAGATACGAGACTACGGGAAGGAACCAGCATCAGAACAGCTTGGAGAGGTGGTCTTTTCCCTGAAAGTTTGGGGTAATTAGCTCTGACCACTCACTGCTTCACGGTCTTGTTCATTAGTTTCTTTCTGGGGAAGGAGAGGCCTTGAGTCTCCTGAGGAGTTTTGTAGGCACTGGACAACAGCCTGTGGAAGATAGCAGTCCTGGGGCCCATAATGGGCAGTCTGTAGCGAATGCTCTCTAGAAGACAGTGCAAGAAGGGTACAGAATAAGGGGTTGAACACTGTTCTTTCAAAACCACAAAGTATCGATGGGCCACCAGAGACTCCTCCAGCCTTAGCAAATACTCAAAATTCACATAAGCATTTCTTTAAATAGAACCATCTCGTGCCAACAACATTAAACTTTTCTAAATCCGATTGAAGATGCCAAGTGAAATTTAGAAATAACACCCAAGAGGCAGGAGTATTGCCAACTACATTGAAGATAAAGCATATATGGAGTTGTAATATAAATTCAAGGGGGAAGAGGGCTCAATTCTCAGGAGACTGTTCCAGGACGCATGTGTCCATAGTCCTGTGTTTGAGAAAATAAACAGCCATGATTTTACAAACAGGCCACAGGAGGAAAAGGTTTAGTATATCAAAAGGAACTTCAAGTTGCAAATAATTCTAAAGTCCTTACCATTCTGACCTCTTCTTCAAACAGGATTGGATTTTTTTAAAAAAAAAAAATGCTTGCCAGGCGGTGGTGGTGCACGCCTTTAATCCCAGCACTCGGGAGGCAGAGGCAGGCAGATCTCTGGGAGTTCGAGGCCAGCCTGGTCTACAAGAGCTAGTTCCAGGACAGGAACCAAAAAAGCTACGGAGAGACACTGTCTCGAAAAATCAAAAAAAAAAAATGCTTAAACTTAACTTTTCCAGAACACATTGCTTAGAGGAGATGAATCGTGCATGCAACAACACCTCCCCATTGGGAGCAACTGAATGACTATGGGGGTTGAAGCCCTGAATTCTCAGGTTTGCTTGATCAAGCCAAATGTGTGCTAAAGTGATTACAGGCGTGAGAGTCTGGAGTGCAGCTCAGGCTTCTCTTTGCCATTCAAATGCAGCAACATTTCAGGTTGATGGACACAAACAGGTTGAGGACCAGCATCTAGCTCCCCTTAGTCTCAACTGAGTACTCTGTATCCTGTCACACTTCTCTGCCAGGCGCTAAACACATGTTAGGTGGGTAACATAACACCAGGGCTCATCAAGAATAAAGGTCTGCAGGTCTCATGGGATCAAGGCAAAGAGAAATGAATTCAAAGTAACCTCCAGATACCATTTCTGGTCCTGATTATAAAGTTTGGGTGAATTTAGGAAAATGTTAGAAATCACTGTTTTGACCTACAAATAAACTATATAACTGTGTGCAGTGAAAACACTGGGATTCTGTATTCATAGCATGTTTGCATGTGGGCGGCAGCTTAGGCAATAAGTCGCAAGTACTGAAGTTCTGATATGACTAAGCTATATAAACCATCAGGCTTGGCCTGCCAGTAGCTGTGGCTTGGTCCAGCTTATATTGTGTGAAACAAAATGCTGCTCTAGCTTTTAAAGTGGGAACACAGACACCAAACAGAGAAAGACCAGAATCTGGGAGCAGGCGTTTCTGGTCCTGGGCTACACTTTCCCCCATGCTTTGGAGGACAAACATAACAACAAAGCCTAGCTCAGAGAGGTTTTAGCTGGCATCACATAGAGATCCCCCAACATTCAGCCCCTAAACAGTTCTGCATCCACTTTCTCTACAGCTCCATCTCCAGTATTATTGTCTTAGATTAGACTCTATGGGCAAGAAAATGCCATGCTGATCCCATGTGCCCTCAGTTAGTTTTTATGCTAATAATTGAAGCATTCCCAGGGTTTACAAATTGGTGTTGCAAAACAATCTTGATGAGGGAAGGAGATATAAGTGTGTGTGTGTGTGTGTGTGATTCATTCCTTTCCAAGACAAATTTGAGGAAAAAAAAAAACCCAGGTCCAAGAAAAATTCAAAATAAGTATGTCACTAGCGCAGACAACACTGAGACCGGTTGGGTGCACGTATCTCCCAGTGTTCCCTTGGCTAGGGAGAAAGCTGAGCAGAGAAGATTGGTGGTTTTTCATTGGGTGGATGCTTTTAAGCTTAGATCTCCATTGCTCCCTTTGGCCTAATCGAAATCATGACGTAGGTCACTGGTTTTGGATATGTGAGAAGAAATTCATGGGAAGTGGGTCACCCTCTTTCACTGCAATGGAGTTGGATTTCCCAAACTGGCCATTGTTTTGGGGACTCTGGTCTTTCCTTTGGCATCTGCCCGAGACACCCCTTTTGTTCTTAACTTTCCTTTCGAGGTGGCTGCTCAGTTCAGTTCTGGTTATGAATCTCTGCAACCTCCTAGGTTAAAATAGCAACCATAACTTTATTTCTTTTACTGTACAAATCTAATGAAACAAAAGTTTAAAGCAGTTTCAGTTATTTGGGATCCATTTGATAGAAAAAAAAATCCCTGAAGCTTGGGCTTAGTTGTATATTTGTCAGTTCATTGCCCCCTGTCTCTAAGGGGTGGGACATAACTCAGTGTTGCAGTCTGGGATATGCTACTGTCTTTTTTATTTGTTTGTTTTATAAGTAGTACTAAAACTTAGAATAGCACTGGGCGGCTTCTGGGGGGAGGCAGCGCTTTAGGATCCTGTGGCTGTGTGGTGAGACCATTCCAGGAATGTTGTGAAGCACTTGCCTTTCCACTTTGATTTGTGTCACCGGGACTGGGGGGGGGGGAAGCCTTTTAAACTGTGTCCCATTTTTCTGGAAATTTCTTTAGCAAGTGTCTCATTAGTCAGAAGTATGTGATATAAAGAGACCTTGGAGAAAACATGAAAACATGTGATACCCTTGGCGTGGACAGAGTGAGCTGCAGTTAAAAGGAGGAGGAGGAGGCTGTGCAATGATTCTATCACATCCAAAGGAAAAAGGGGACAGAGAACAGAGTTTGCCCAGAAAATATAGAAACTAAGTTTTCCATTCTCTGGCCCCAAGTAGAGCATGTATCACACTGGAAGCACTTATTCTAAGAGAAAACAAACCTGTTGGGATGTCATTGCAGGGATGACTAAACTGCTGGACATTGGAATGACGAAGGAGCATCACTCTGATCAAAAGATTCAAGAAAACACAGTAGTCAGTTGACTAGACCTTAGTGAAGAGGAATTAAAGGGACTCTAGCTGGCCCTTCTGCATTCCCTCTGCCTTGCTGAAAAACCATTAGGTTACATTCCTAAAGCTAGGCTCCAAGGTCTATTCCCTTATTCGCTCACTTCCTCCTCCTGAGCCCGAATACCACGGTCCAGTGATCAAAGTTTTGAAGGCCAGCAATCAAAAGCCCCTTCTGGCTACCCTAACACACCTAAGCAAAAGAAATCAACTCATTATAACACAAGGTTTCCTAAGTGGCTAAACAAGTTCAAGTCCGTATTGTACAGTCATTCTATGTAAGTATCAGACAGAAGTGGTAGGCTTTCTTTCATTATTATGTTGAAAATGAAACCAACAAAAGTTTGAGAATTTTAAGATGATTCAATTCTTGGCCACAGTTTAAAGTAATGAGAACTGCTTGCTTAAAATAAAACCAATTAATGATTTGGGGATTAAGTGCTTCACTTAAAGTACAAAATATTCTCAATAAACCAGGGCAACAGGCTCCCAAGTCTCTTTCACAGAAAAATTAACTTCTGCTCAGAAACCCTTGCTTCAAAGAGTTTCCTATTCACTCTTTGAGAAGAGTATCTACCAGAATTACTTTTATCATGATAAAAAGTATCAGTAAATGTTATTAGTGTTGGAACTTGGACTGCCCGGACACATGTTCCCTCTGTGACCTTTGTGTACCTGAGCCAGCGCTGCATGGTTTCAGGGCACCTGACTTGTGTCCCAGTCTGGAACAAAAGGCCGTAATGTCATAAAAGCAATCAGAACATTTGCTTCTGAGCCACATAAGATTACAGAAAGACTTGCTAGTTTCTCCCATCTTTCTCTTTACATAAGGGAGAGAATTAAATGTTGCCTTAGCATCGTATATAATTATTTTGTAAAGATGAGTCTGTGCTCACATGCCACCGTCTATTACAAGGCATTCAGAACACTGAAGCCTTAGCCAGAGTGAGTCCATGTTTGTTGTTGTTATTTTTAAGCTTTGATTGTTTTAGTTACTGTATAAAACAATTAGTTTCATTATGATGTTTCAAACATGTTTAGCATCATATTTGGGCCTGGAGGTTGTTTTACTGAGGTTTTCATAATGAGAACATTATTATTTGTACACAGCCCCCCCCATGCCCCCAACTTCTTCCATATTATCCCTAGAGCTTTAAAAATTGAAGAAGTAAATTCTTCACTGTTGATAGTCAAATACAAGAAAAAGCTTAAAAACTCCAACTAATGAGAATTTGACTTGATTTCATTTTTGTTATATCTTTTGTATCCTGTGGTATTGCAGCAAACAACAAAATAGACTAGATAAGTAGAATTTAAATAGGATTTAAATTTAAATTGATGAAGAGGATGCCTTGAACTTGGGACAAATTGTGTGTCATCTCCCATATTTTGTGAATTAGATATATATCATCTATATAAGAATTGTTATCTGCTTGAGGGCAATGAAGAAATAGCCTACCCACTCCTCATGCAGTTCTTATGTTGGAGAAAAGGAAGGCTGTGCTAATAGTAACTTTAATCATTCCTGTAAAGAAGTGAAATCATTTAATTCATGGCTCCAACAGAAGATACAACCACTATAATGTTCATTCCCAGGGTGTTCTGTCTACTGCCCTTTTAATCCCAATCCTGTGTCCCAAACAGAAAGGACCAGAGTATAAGTCAGATCCCAGCTTACATCTTTGGCTCACCTGGGATTCAGAGAATTCTGGAAGGATGGTTTCTCATGGTCTGGGATTATGAAATTTTTCGGCTGTACCTGAGAAAAAAGTCCTGATTCAATATGTTGGCTGTAACTACACTCTCATCTAAACAATAAACTTTAGCAAACCTGAGTTGTGTCTGAAACTGTTCACAGATCCTTTTGCATCTTTCTGGTTCCTGGTGTTTCTCTGCCTCACCGTCTAAGGCCTGCTCTCTGAACACTCCTAAGACCTTGCTGCACTTCCTTGCTTAAGGATATCTGCCTTTCCTGATAAACTTGCATCTTCATGAGGATAGACTACATCGCTACACTGAGGTGTTTGTACTTCTAGCTCCTAAATTGCCCATTTAAGACATTTTCAGAATCACTGAGCAAATGATGCTGACTTGAAGCACATTTGACAGCACGTGCCTTCTGTGCAGGCTAGAATCAGGAGACTCGCGGCCTCTCCGGTTAGGAAACCACACTCTTGAGCTTCTTTAGCTTGGATCCCAGCATTCCACGCTGGCTTCCTTCAGGAGTGTGTCCATCCACTCAGAACCCTTCCACTGAAGATGATCAGACCTATGTCGGTGACATGGCAGTGACAACGAAACATGCGTGCAGGTGTTCACTCAGCCTACTAACTGAATGACTGGGGACTTAAATTCATGACACAATAAAACTGCAAATTCTTATACGTCCAATACTGGTGTAGGAGGCTCATCTGTTCAAGTGTTTCTTTCATTGGCTAATGAATAAAGAAACTGCTTTAGGCCTGATAGGGCAGAACTTAGGTAGGTGGAGAAGACAGAACTGAATGCTGGGAAGAAAGGAAGAGTGGCAGATGCCGTGGATCTCCTGCCTGAGATGGACGCTGGTTAGAATCTTGCCGGTAAGCTACAGTTACCTGGCAATACACAGATTAATAGAAATGGGTTAAATTAAGATGTAAGAATTAGACAATAAAAAACTAGAGCTAATGGGCCAAGCAGTGTTTTAATGAATATAGTTTCTGTGTGGTTGTTTTGGGGCTAAGCTAGCTGTGTGGCTGGGAAGCACAAGCAGGCCCTCCCCTCGTAACACAATACCTCTAGGGGTGCCTGAAAACCAAAAAATTCAATGCCACCTCTACCTGAAGGGTCTAGCATTTTTATTCAGATTGTTCTGAATCATTGACTGGGGGGAGATGAAAGAGGAAAAAGAAAAAAAAAAGATCAGGAGTCAAGGAGTAGCTGGGGAGGTGAGAGCAGCAATGGCTTCAGTAAGGACCTAGGGGGAGAAGGGGAGAGAATATGCCAGAAACGGGCCTTGTCTTTTCCTTAGATTTCATCCACAGTCGACTCCAAAGGGAGGAGCAGGGAGCTTTCTATCTCCTGCAGAGTAGCATGACCCACGTTCTACCGCCCCTCACTCTGGCTGGTAGTATTTTATGCATAGTGCGGAGTCTAAAGGCACACAGAGCAAAGTTGCCAATGATGCCATTTTTGTGTCCGAGACAAATTGCATCAGGGTGAATCTAGTCATTCTTTCCACCGTTATTGATTTTCTGAAACTTTAAGTGTACAGATTGATGGGCATCACTTGATACGGGTATATAGTGTGATGATCAAGTCAGGGCAGATAATTTTTCTCTATTCTGAAGTTTTAAAAAGGTGACAAGCACACGATTACACGAGTTTATTCAGTACAGTGTGCTAGCTTTGATACTTAACACTTTCCTCTGCTAATTATTACTCTGTATTTGGAGTTTCCCAGTTCCTTGCTTTCACTGCACATAAAATAGCAAAGTGTCATGAAGTGAAGCCATCCCGCCATGCTATAGACTTCTAGGACTTTTCAGTTCCATCTATGCTTTGGTACTCATTACTCAAGCTTACTTTATTCTCGTCCACCCTTCTCAACTTTTAGTCATCTCTATTGTATATCCTGACCAGCTTTTTAAAAATCTACATTTGAGAAAACAGGTGATAACTGTGTTTCTGCCCCTGACTTATTTCATTTAATTAGTGCAGTGACATCAGGTTGTTTAAGATTTTGTTGCAAATGAGAAGAGTCTATTACGTTGCTGAATAATATTCCATTATGCATGTACCACCTATTCTCTATCCTTTCATCCCCGTATAGGCCTCAAGGATGGATACATATTTTAGCTACTGTGAACAATATAGTAAGCAGCTTGCTTGTTCAAATGCCTTTTTGATGTGCTGATATAAAATTCCTTTGACTCTTTAACAGAAGAGGAATGGCTGGATCACATAGTAGTTCTACTTTGAGTGTTTGAGGAATCACCATGCTTTGCTGATCTCCATAATCATTAATTCCCAATCCCACCAATCACAAACATTCCCTTTCTTTCACTTATTTGCCAGTATTCATTATTTATGGACATTTTGGTAATAACTATTCTAATCAGGACAAGATCTGCCTTCACTACTTCCTAGTGACGTAGAGATTTCCCCCCATAATCTGCTTGCCCTTTGAATTTCTCCCTCTGAGAAATGACTGCCCATATCCTTTGTTCATTTATATTAGATTTTTTATTATTGAAATGTTAAGTTCCTTATATATTCTAGATATTAGCCCATTGGAAATGAGTAGTTTGCAATCCACCCATCCTACAGGTGTCTCTTCACTCTGTTTCTTTTGTCATTCAGATATTTAGCTTACATAAAGATAAATAATCATTTAAGCCTATATAGTTACATAATCTCATGCATTTATGTTTGTTTTGTTTTCTGTTCTTTGGGTGTCTTACACCCTCCTCCAAATCACAGCCTATAAATGTCTTAAGTAACTTTCCTGTTTCCTTCTAGTAGGTCTTTAAAATATTTTTCCTTTTCTTTTTGTAAGACAAGAGGAGTCACTCTTTTCTTTTCCTCATGAGTACCTGTTTACTACCTCAGCACTGCTGATGAAGTGGCTGTCCTTTCTCCCAGTGCGTACTTCCAGTTTCTTTGTTGAGAATTCAATGCTGCAAAATCATGGGGCACTCTGTGCTGTTCACCAGTCTGTGTATCTGCTGTCTGCTGACACCTTGCTCTTCTTGTTACTGTGGCTTTGTTGTATATTTTGAAGTTAGAGAGCTTTTGTTTCATTTGTGTTTGTTTTTCGTTTGTTTGTTTGCTCAAGATAACTTTTGCTCTTTGGAGTTCTTTAAGATTCCATATGAATTTAAATTTTTTTCTAGTTTTGTTTAGAATGCCATCAGCAATTTAGTGAAGATTGTATTGAATATGGAGTTTGCTTTAAGTAGACTATTTTAACAGTTTTAATTCTTACAACTAATGATCTCTTTAATTTCATTAATATTTAGATAAATTAAAAATTATATTCTTCAATTTTTATTGTAGATGTCTTTTTTATTATAGCTATTGTGAATAGAATTCCTTCAATAATTTTTTTCAACAATTGTATGTTACTGTTGCTAACAAAATACTGATTCTGTATGCTGATTTTGTATCCTGAACTTTTACTGACTGTATCAATTCAAATAGTATCTTAATGGTCTTTGACTTCCTCTTTCTCGTTACATATATGTAGATATATACACATACATATATAGGAGTACATATATATGTATTCTTATCACCTACAAGTAGCAATAACTGTACTTATTCCCTCCTTATCTGTATCCTATATTTCTTTTTCTTACCCAGTTGGTTTGGCTAAACCCTCTGGACATTAAGAGCCGCGAGAGGGCATTCAAGGCTCTTCATTTTGTTATTTCATTGTCATTTTTTTTTGTATTGTGTTATAGTCTCTTATTTTGCTTTGAATTTTGTTGTTCCTTTTTACTTTTTCTTTCTTTTTTCATTATTATTATTATTGTTATTATTCTTTTGTTGTTTTCAAGACAGGGTTTCTCTGACTAGACTGGTTTCAAACTCATAGAAATCCACCCACATGTCTATGCTTCCTGAGTGATGGGATTAAACATCTGGGCCACCACCCCTTGGCTGTTACTCCTATTAGTAATCTGGAGGTTGGTTTTCTCATTCCTTGAGATATGTAATAGGTTGTTTATTTGAAATCAGCTCCCCTCCTCATCTAAAAATATAAGTGCTTATTAGTGTAAACTCCCCTCGTATTGCTCCTGTTGTGTTGGTATATATTTTGATATGTTTGGTATATAATGGTGCTTCCATTTGCAGTTGCTTAAAACTTTTGTAAATTTCCTTTTTATTTCTTCAGTAATCTATTGCTTATTCAATATTCTGTTAGTATGCTTCCATGAATTTATACAATTTCTGAAACTTACTCTTTGTTTAAGAGTTTATTTTATTATAGCTAGAAAATAAAGTTCAGTTTTCAAATTTTTTGAGTCTTGATTTGTGGCAAAACATATAATTCATCCTGAAGGGTATCACATTGTCTAAAAAAGAACCTTGGATGAAGGGTTCTGTAGTTTGGTTTTGTGAGAGAGACCTTCACAGGTGCAGATGACTTTGGATCCCAGTTCCCGTGAGACCTTGACGTGAAGATGAAAGTTACAATGCTTAGAGTTGTTTCCTCATAAATTCAATATTTCTGGAAAAAACTGGAAGCCAGGAACAAAGAGCAGGAGTGTGGGAGTGGTTTCCTGAGATTCCTCAAGAGATTTAAGGACTGCACACTGGTGGACACTATCTAAAAGGAACTCACAGTGGCTTTTTTTCTTTACTAAAATAACTCTGTATCAATTAACCTGTGATACCCATGGCACCTGCTGTGCAATTGTGCTTTCAAATATGGTTTATTTTCTATACCATTGTCACATATTTGCTTTTATACATTCTTAAAGTGTTCACTGTGAATTAAGAAAGTACATGAATTTTTACACGTAGACATGAGCTTGTTTAAGGAAAATGCTTTGACTTACAATCTTTGACTCATTTTCCATTTATATAGGAACTCTGACTGCTCCTTGGACTGGATATTTTTAAAGACCTATTTTTAAGTTTAGAAATTATTCTAGTAGTAGAATAATTTTAGTCCAGTGTTAAGGTTTAGACTATTTAGAATCAATATTATTGAGCTCTTCTTTTCCACAAATTCTATTAGTTTTTAAAAATATCTCTGCTGAATTTTATATTCACATCATTCATTGTTTCTCCAATTTCATTCACTTCTCTATATCCTCTTGATATGAGTGAGCTTTTTTATAGCTACTCTTTGAGGTTCTTCAGCAGGCATTTCATCAGCCTAGTTCTTTACCTATTGCTAGAATATTACTGTGCTCTTTTGGAAGCATCCACTTACCTTGCTTTATTAATATTCATCATGATTCTGTTAAAATTTGAGTATCTGGTGATTTGGTTATCTCTACTACTTTTATAAAGCAACTTTCTTACTAAGGGGCTTTCTCTAGAACAGTGGTCTCAACCTTCATAATTCTGTGAGCCTTTAATACAATTGCTCATGATGTGGTGACGACACCCGACTATCAAATTATTATTCCATTGCTATTTTATATCTGTAATTTTGCTACTATTATGAATCTCAATGTAAATATCTGATATGCAACCCCTAGAGGGGTCATGACCCACAGGTTGAGAATCGCTACTCTAGAAGATGTGTCAAGGAATGCCAGGTTGGCTTTGGGGCTGATGGGAGCTATTGCACAATCTCCTTATAAAGTCTTTGACGATAATCAGAAGCTTTGAGTGCAAGGTGTGCTGGATTGGAGTTCAAAAGAACTTGGGCTGGGGACACGGAGTAGGTGTGGTATATACAACAGTTATGGTGGCATGTCCCTCTATGTGGTCATCAAAACTATAGGAGTGGTAGCAACAATGGTAGCTTTGTGAGGTACTGCTGGAGCGAGCTCTGCTGCCTTCAAGGACTTCTGACTTTCATTGGCAATGGGGATCATGCAGCACATGCCTCCAGTCTTGGTGGTGGCATGGGCCCATAAACAACTGGGCATGGGAGAAGAAGGTGATAGGTAACTACTTTGTCTTTCTTGGCCCCAGTGCAGTAGAGGCCCACAAGCAGTTGCTTTGCCCAGCGGTGACTGGAGCCCATACCCAGTTATATACACAGAGATACAGTGAAAAGGGACCTCAGCACTAAGCCTATTTTTGTCTCAGACTGAATGAAGGCGTGGACCTATAACCAGCCACTTGTCGGGGTTCAGCAGAAACGGAGGATTACGGCATACTGCCTGCCTCCAGGAGCTGCCAATGCCTTAGGTCTCAGGGGCTAGGACTCTTGTCTCAGTTTTTGAGAGTGGCACCCTTGCCCCCTCCATGGTAAAAGATACATGTTCTTTAGTGTAGGGTCTTATCTGGGCTTGGTACTGTGGTCACATCGGAATCAAGTCGGTTTGTGAGTTTTCAGGTCTTTGTGTTGGTTTGGCAGAATGACCAGTAAGTCATCAGAATTGGGATAATCAGAGATTTTTAAATCCTTGAGTATGACAAAGTTTGAACACTATCTCCTTTTTCAGGATGGGACCTAGTTATAGCAACTTTGTAAGTTGGGTTTGATGGAGAGATGTTTTCTTCTCAAAAATAAAGTGAATATACAGATTTGAGATTGTTCTCCTAGTTGGTCTCCAAGCTTGGAGGACTATGAAGCTTTCTGGTGACCAGGACTGCAAGGGTTTGTACTGATACGTTATTTATATTTTTCTTGTGGCTTTGTGTTGCATAATATATATATAATATATATATTATATAATATATATTATATATATATATATGAAATAATTGGCTTACCAACAGCTATAAAAGTTTTCACTTAAGTTTCTTTGTAAGAGTTTTATGGTTTCACTCATATTTAAGGCTCTGATGGATTGTGAGAATTTGTTTTCAATATGTTATAAGGGAAAGGTACCCTCTCATTATTTTGCATATTTATATGCAACTGTTCCAGCGCTTTTATTGAGATGAATTTTCCTGATTATGATAGCATCCTTGTTTTAACAGGTCAATTGTTATGGAATGCAAGGATTTAATTATGAAATCTTAATTTCATTCCAGTGCTCAACATGTTTATTCTTGTATCAATACCACATTGTCCTAACTGTAGCCTTGTAGTGGGTTTTAAAATTAGGCTGTGAGCTCACAAACTTTGTTATTCTATTTCAAGACTGTTTTAGCTATTTTGCATCTCTTTAATTTTTACATAAACTTTTATATCTGCTTGTCAGTTTCTACAAAGAGGCTGTTTGGGTTTTAAGTGGTCACAACTATAAATAAATTTGAGGAGAATCACCATCTTTATAATAGTAAATGCTCTAATCCATGAAGATGGTATTTTTTTTTCATTTAGTAGGTCTTCCTTAATTACTTTACATAATTAAAAAAATTTAATGTGCTGATCTCATCTATTTTCCTTTAGTGTATTTTACTTTCATTTTGATACTCTTGTAAATGAGAATATTATTTTGGAATTGCTATTAGTGTATAGAAATAATTTGGTATTTGCATACAGACTCTGTGTTCATAAACCTTATTTTACTAATTTATTAGTTGTCATAGGTGTGTGTGTGTGTGTGTGTGTGTGTGCGCGTGCGTGTGTCTGTCTGTCTGTCTTGGGGGTGTTTTCTATATAAAATCACACCATCTGTAAATAGAAATAGTTTTGCTTTTTCGTTTCTGATGTATGGCTCTTATTTAGCAACTGTGACAGACCATTGCAGCTTTTCTTGTTGCCCCGGCTAGAATGTGCAGCACAGTCTTGAGAAGGAAGAATTAGTGTAGATAGACATCCTGTCATGTCTGCTCTTAGGAAATCATCTAGTGTTTGGTCCTTAAGCATGATGTTATGTGTGTGTGTTGTGGTGGATACCTTTCACTATGCTGATAAAGTTCTCCTAGGGGTCGTCACATCCTCCCCTGCTGTCTTCAATGAAGGAGCTGTTAAGGAAGCATGGGTGAGAGAGAAACTACAGCAGTCAACAGTCCCTTTCCATGGCACAGCGAGGCTAGCATGCCAGGTGTGCTTGTTGTTTTTCTCCAGTTTCTCAGCCAGCTCTGACAGTAATCGAGAAGAGTTCCTAGGCACCATTTTGTTGGAAGGCTACGACTGTAGCAGCTGTAGCCAGCAGGGAAGCCATGGGCACATGGGTCTACTCCTCTCAGGTCTGAGCTGGGGCAAAGGTCAGGGAAGAGGTCTTGAGAACAGGAGCTTCTGAAGTCCCAAGTGTTCCAGTTGGCCGTGGCCAGTTTAGCCTGAGGTCATGGTACTCTAAATGTGATTTCAGGAATGAAAGCACGAGAAATCCCAGCCCAGACCACAGATCTCACGTTGAACACTGGTCCCTGGCGTGAGGAAAATCAACAGATGGCAACCCTGAGAGCAGCGTTTGCCACGAGCTTCGGCCACACAGAGGTTCACTCAACTCACCTTCACTTGTCACTCAGCTCAGAGTCCTTCCTTATCCGTTTGGTCCCTGGGCCCCTCATCCTTTAACCCTTCATCTTATAACCTTAGCCCTGGCTTTCTCAAGTCAAAGGAACCTTAGTGGATATCAGACTTAAAGTGGTCCTTTATCACCTGCACTAAACAGTCAGCTAAATCACCCTTAAATCAAGTCATATTCCTATTCTAATCCTAATAGCCATGCTACCCTAATCCTAATCCTCTTTTCAGTAGCAACTCCGACATGTGGCAGCACTGCCCTTTTCCTCCCGGATCTCCTTTCCCATAGCATCCCTCCTTTCCACTATTTTCCATTACAAATTATAGTTATTCAGGTCAAGGGACAGCTCTGGCTGGCCAAAGCTACTGCAGAACCTCTCTCCAGCCTTCTTCCGAGGCTCAGACTGAATTAATGACTAACTCCAAAGCAAGCAGCTTATTTCATAATTACAATGGTGGAGATGACTTTGTGTATGTGTGTGTGCGCATGTGTGTGCATGTACATATGTGTGTGTCCATTGTGTGTTTTTGTGTGCATGTACATGTATGTGTGTGTTGTGTGTATGTGTATGTGTTGTGTGTGCATTTGCATGCATGTGTGCATTGTGTGTATGTGTGTGTTATGTGTGTGTGCATGAGCATGCATGTGTGTGCATGTGTGTATGTGTGTGTGTGTGTGTGTATTGTGGTGATGTCATGCTGAGGAACAGCTCCACATCCCTCAGAATCTCTGTGTTTGTGTAGCTAATGACAAGCCCCAGAGTGGCTCATCTCATCTCTACTTATCCTGGTTCACTTTTGGCTTCTTGAAATGGAGAGAGTGGCTTATATTGTACCAACAGATGCTGCTCTCAGAACCCACAGCCTCCTTTGTTGGCTCTGTCAGATTTCCCTGTAAAGGGCCCCATCACTATGTCTTTGTACAGAGCTTCAGTGGAGGGAGGGGGAGTTCTGTACCTAGGAACTTCCTCTCTTGCCTACCGTTTTCATTTCTCGACATGTGGAGTGGTACAGTTGCTTGTTCCTGGGCGACAGATTTTCATGCTCATATTTTCCGGCCTATGGGGAAAGGGAACAGTTATGAGTGAGGAGAGGATAAGATAGATACTCAGGGCAGAAAAAGAGTTAAAAACAGGGAGAGGGGGAACTTCCTTTCATAAAAAATGAAATGGGTATTCTTATTTTAGCTGCTCTAGAGTGGCTGCTTAGTCTGGGATTTGCTGTACCTTACAGCTTCAGAAAGGGCTTAAGCAGGAGGGAGCGACTAGAGACAAGGTGGTGGCCTCGGGGCTGCTGTATACAGTGACAGAAATGCAAGGACAGCTAGACTGGGGATTAGGAAATAAAATGCAGTAGGATCTCTGCCTTTTAGCCTGTGCATATGTGGCAGAAGGGCTGTGTTTCCCTACAGGCAGCACATTCCCCCATTTTTGAAACAAGTTTCACCAAGCGACCCAGGACCTTTTGACTCCATGAAGATTTTCCCATAAATCTTTCTGCAGTCCCTCTGTGCAGCGAGCATTAAGCCACAGCGGAACTAGAGCTGTATATGTGTTGTGAGCCCCTCGTTGGGAAAGCAAGGCTGTGCCAACCAAGGCAAAGGGACAGCTAGTGGAAGGAGGATGGGATGCCCTTCTGTTCCCTGTACAGACTGCCTTCTTTCTGATTTCCTGCAGAATGGGTGAGAGCCTCAGAGCATTTATACCTGAACAGAGGCCTCTAACGTGCATGTCTGGAGAGGTTTCCTTAGGAGGCAGATGAGAGTTTGAATCTAAAATTACATTGGAGGTTTGATCTAGCACCTTCTGATGCACACTGGCGTCAAAGTAATGCGATTCACCCACAGAAAGTATAGAGCATAGGTGGGAAGAGCGCCACAAAGACAAGCAAACAAGACTGTCAACTTAAGCTTTCTCCTTCGGGTCAACCCATGTATGTCCTGACTCATTCCTGTTGCCCTGGGAGGTGTGGGAGACAGGAAAGGATGAACACATCTACCCAGCATGGTTAGTGTGCGCCGAAGGTGACCTTTGCCCACTGATCACAAGTACTTTCATCCTGAGAGGTACATGGCGTTTGGAGTTTGAAGACTGAATACTACTGACAAAAGTTGGATTCTTCGGACAAATATTTAAAATATGCTTCGTCGTTATAGGACACGAGAAAGAATCAGCTCAGTATTAACATTGTGGGTTGACAGGTGGGAGCATGAACGCAAATGGATAGACTCAATAATTTAAGAACCGATATTTCTTGTGAGGTCACTATATATGGGGTGGTGCCATATATAATACATAAATAATACAAAGTTCTCAGGAAGATGTGAAGACAACACAAATTCACTATTCATTAGGTACTCCTAGGTAAATAAGACAGCTTCTCGCGTTTAGCTGCTTGTGGTCCAGCAATTAGCATGCCCAAGCACCGCTGCTGTATTAGTTACCTTGCTCTGCACTAAGACAAAGCACCCGACAGAAATGGGTAAGGAAAAGGTTTATTCTGTTTTGGGGGGGGGGGATTTCAGTTCATCACGGCTGGGGGGACAGAACAGAGTCATTTGGTCCACGACAGCAAGAGATGTTGGTAGCAACAAGTTCTCATGACAGTGGACCAGGAAGCAGACAGCTCATGCTGAACCAGGGATAGGTATAACTCTCCAAGTTCAGTCCCGAGTGCTCTGACTTCCAGCTGGGACTGGCTTTCTTAAGGTTCCACAGCTTTCCCTGTGGTGCCATAAACTGGAGTACTGGACCCCAAACTTCTGGGGGGGGGGATCACTTTAGAGTCAGACTCTAGCAGTGTTGATGGTTCTAGGACAGAAACAACTGCAGGAGGCCCCAGTGAAGCTGGGGGTCACTGCTGAGTTCCCTGGGAGTAATAAGCAGAGAGGAGGGTCTGAGGAGAGGAACAGGTCAACAGATTTGGCACTTTTCCGGTACATGAGAAAAGGGGAAGGCACTGAAGGCCCAGAAAACTGTGCGCAAAACCTGGGAGAGTAACCAAGCAAATCATCCTTGGGGGTTAGAAAATTCTAGTTGCCTGGTGGGAGAAAGGCTTGGGTGAGAAGAGGGACTGGTCAGTAAGCTCTCTGTGTATGTTCCTTGGCTTTGAACTGAATCAGCTTTCTGCCATGACTTCCCAGGCACTCAGAGGTGCTCTACCTTGTAGCTAAGGCTCCGCCATCCATTTCCCAGATTTCTGAGGTCTTCTGACCTCTCAAAAACTGCCACCCAGAGCATCAATGATATCTCTGGGACCTTAGAAAGAAAACAGGGAACAAAGAGAAGGGACATTGGTGGTGGGTTGAGGTTTAAGAAGACTTGGATGGAGGGTAGCAGCTATGAGGAAATCTTTGGGCTGGCTCATTTGGAGTAGAAGCATCTGTATATTATCTTCTCTGTTATCAGTTACTCCCACATTTAAAGACTTCTCGCCACCTCATAGAATACTACGAGGCCATTCATGGGTTGGGATCAGAGTTGGTGACAAGCCATGGGGCAAATATATTAGTGAAGTCTCCCTGGCAATGCTTATATAGTTCCAGAACAATGGTAGCTATAATCTTTGACATCAAAAGGATTAAACTATTCTCTAGATTCTTGATCTGTCCTTGTTAATTCATTACCCTTTAAGGCACAGCTTTTACCCCACTGCTGTGATAAAATACACTGGTGAGCACAATGCAAGTGTTTCCTCTGGCCCACAATTCCAAGGTGCAGTCAGCCATGGCAGAGAGTCAAGATGACAGGGAACTGAAGCAGTTGGGGATACTGCATTAAGAGTCAGGAAGCAGAGTTTAGTGCATGCTTGCATGCTAGTGCTCCGTTTGGGATCCCCCCTCACAATCAGCAGGTCTCCCCATCTTTATTAACACAATGGGCAAACACGGTCTTCAGGTGATTCTAGATTCTGGCCAGTTGACAACATTAGCTCTCACCTTTCTCAGAAAGCCCACATCCTTCTCTGTCTTTTATCACCCTCTTAGATTGAGTTGGATGCCTACCTCTCTATTCCAGTATAGACTTGGTGAAACTTTCTTTGCAGTTTGATTTATTCAAAACAATCTTTTTGTTCCCACCACCAGCTAAGAGTTACTTAGCTGCAAGAACTATGCCTCGTACACTGTTCCTAAAGACTGTAATGGGCACAGGTATACAACCTAAATATTGAATGATGAGTTATTTGAATTAACAGATGCAAATATAGACATATACATAAAGATTGCTGTTACGACATTGTGTCACAGAGATCTTATAGGACAGTAGTGTTATTCTTTGTGTAAGGAGCTGCAGAGAAGCACAGGCCAGGAGACTGAAGGGCTCCATTCTAGACCGAGTTCTGCTACCTGGGTGATGTCAGCCAATACTGAAAGTTCTCTGGGCCCCGCAGCCCCTCCTGATGGTCCCTGTGACCAAAAGGACAGAAGTGGATTGCTAACCCGCCACTTCAGTGCCTGAAGAGCAAAGCTAATCTTGGCCATGCCTCAGCTCGGACCCACAATCAGCCAGTCTTGCTTCCAAGAAGAGTTGCTCTATTTCTCGTTATTTGGAGGGTAAGTAGGCTCAGAGTTCCAGGAGGCAGCAGCACCAGGCAAATCTAAAGCTGACATAAACCATTTTGGATTCCATGTGCGAGAGGGCTCCTTTCCTTTGGTCATGCGCTCTTTCCCAGCCATGAAACCAAGGTCTTTCTGACCTGCACCATCCCCACCTCACTCTCCTTCCTAAGGCTGGTATAGCAGAAGCAGCAGCAAGGGAGAGAGAACTGGCCAGGCTCAGCGCCAAGTTCCTGGTGATATCATCTCCCCAGTGAGAGACACTGAAATGTTAAAGTGTCTCTTGTTTCCTGAGCAGCTACCCTCGAGAAGGCAGACAGAAGTAGTAACAGGAAGATGACAGCAACCTGTAAAAAGCCCAAAGAGGTGTAACCAGATGTCAACCAGCCCCCAGATGTTGAAGATTCCTCTTTATATTTCACAACTGTAAGATCTTATTTTAGGATAGTGTTTCCTGAGGTTCCTAAAATGTTGTTCAAGGCCCAAGATTTTGGCTTGATAAAGAACTTGAAGTTTATTTCATTCTTCCCATCCTTACACACACACACACACACACACACACACACACAAACACACACACCTGTTTACATAACAAAAACTGAAAATGTAAGTGCCAGATGGTGGTTTTAAAAATAGACAGCTTGATTTCGGGATAACGATAATTTGCCTACGTCCTTTCTGCCCTTCACCACATCTACTGCTTTCCCTTGCTTACTCCTGACTGAGCTGACAGGGACCTTGTTTACTCCTGACTTAGCTGACAGGGAACTTTCTGGTTTACTCCTGACTGAGCTGACAGGGATCTTTCTGATTTACTCCTGACTTAGCTGACAGGGACCTTTCTGGTTTCCTCTCTCAAGTAAGCCACTGAGGAAACAGGAGCCACAAAGTCTAAGAGGCCTATCTGGTAACTCATTCACTTAGGTGCAGAGGTAGAAAATTTTGTCTTTTCTTTTTTATAAAAGGGTCAAAGACAGATTATTTCTTCCCCTCAGGGTAACAGTGTATCCTTAGAGTCTACTTGAGGGCATACTTGTCCGAATACCCTTTAAAGATGGAAAGGGTTGTCAGTTTACTGTTCCAGAAAACCCATAAAATAATTACAGCTTCCCCTCTACCTGAAAATATCCATGACTGCCATCAAAGAGTAAGTACAAAAGTTCCCCCCACTATTCACTAGAAAAAAATATTAAACATACAATAAAGAACCAGGTATTTATTATCCAGATTTACTATTATTCAAATTTAAGTTCTGTGACCACCATCATTTTATAGCAATCAGACTCATTATTCTAAAATTGTTTTTATAGTTTCATGTTTGATAAATATAAACAGGAAAAGGACTTAGGACCATATGAGGTAGTTTTCTTCGTGGCCATGACTTTCACAATTTAGAATCAAGGAGAGATAGCTGCTGAAGAGATCTTAGTGGTGAGAAAATGGGATTCATCTTTTATTGTTTCCCAGCTCACCCTCTGATATTGAGCAATGGCTTCAGCCAAAGCTTTTTGTCACAGCCCTGCTAAAAGCAAAATAAATAATACTGTCATGTTTAATCTGACTTCATTAGGTCAGGAAAGCAAAGTCGGATCAAAGAGAGGGGAGAACCAGTGGGGGAAGGCACTGAGAGCGGGAATCAGTGTGTAGCCTGCAAGTCCTGGCTAGCTCATACTCTGCCCCCACAGGTTGGCAGAGGAGGCTGAGAGCCTCCAGGTGCCTTAGCCCAGTTCACCCATGGACTTCCTTTCCCTCAACATAGAGTAAGTGAGCTTCTGGCACCTTCACAAGGTGAAATGCTAGACGAGTGAGGCTAGTGAAAATTCTGCTTGGTAAACATTTGAGGGAATGTTTAGGTTTCATTTCCTGCCTTCATTTGAAAGCTTTCCTCATTATCCACCCCCATGGGTATTGTTTTAGACCCCTCTCTCTCGATACATCCTATTCTTACTGTCTGCCACCCACTCTCACTCCCAGACTGTCCTGCCTGTCTTTGCTCTCTGTCTGCCGCCCACTCCCACTCCCAGACTGCCCTGCCTGTCTTTGCTCTCTGTCTGCTTCTGGCACACTCGTACCTGCAGCTGCTGCATGGCCCCTGCAAGACAAGTGTGGAATGCTCCTGTGAACTATGAGAGTTCAAATCGTGCCCCTTGACTCTTGATGGAGAAGAGGAAGGGAGCCAGGTGTCGGAACCTTTGCACCTATACAGTGCCCAGGGCCTCTGGTTGGCATCACAATGATTAGCAGTTTCTTGGCAGGTCCCTGGCTTAGGGATAAAGAAGAATATCCAGTGTCCACAAAACATTCCACTCCCTTGAGGCACCACATAGCTTCTGTCTGGGAAGGAGCAGCTGCTGATCCTGCATACATGTGGCAAGGATTGGTAGCTTATAGCATACTCTGGAGGTCTGACTTCAGGCACTGCGTGGTGCCTAACAGAACAAGGATCCTAGACTCCTCAGAGACCCTTCCAACCTTTCTCTCACACACAACAGTGAAGGGGCAGACCCTAGTAAGACGAAAATGAGGGAAAACCCCATGGATTTCTCACTGTTGCTGGAAGCAGGGCTTTTGGGATTCCTCTTAGGTCTGCCCAGAGATTGGTCTTTCAGAACTATTGTTGGTCAGGCTGCTGAAGGTTGTTGCTCCTAACTGCTCTCTAGTGGCCAGACACTAGTATTGCATACACCAAATGCTAGGCACTGTGAGAGGAAGGCTTCTAGTTGTCTTTAGAAAAGCCACGGGGTGCATAGGTGTCTTGGTGTCTAGGCTGTGCACTGAGACGCTGAGCAGACCTCTGCCGAGTGGAACAGGCAGCTGAGAGCAGATGAGAGCTTGTCTAAATAGCTTAGATTTGGGGGAGTGAAAGCTTCATGTCTGTGGTCAGTCTCTGCTCCCTTCTCTCCCCTCATCAGGCTGTCATAGCAGCCTGGCTAGTTCAGGGTGTGAGGGGGACTACTGGAATGTCTGCTCACAGTTCATGGCTTTATGGGTTGGCTGTGCTCTGGCTGGGCACAGCAGCCTTGCTCCTCTTCCATGGAGCTCTGACTGACTCTTGGGTATTCTTCAAGCATTTCCTGCTCTCTCAGGCTCCACATCTTTCTGATATTCTGTCCTTTCCCTGAATCTCTTTTGCTCTTTCTCTAAGCTGGCTCAGGATTATAGGTGTAAATGTGTTACCTTCAAGCCATGCAGGCTCCACTTCCTCCCTTTCTCCACACCCCTCCCAGCCTGGAGTGACCATCCCTACTACCATGTCAAGCACTCCGCACCCCTCCCAGCCTGGAGTGACCATTCCTACTACCGTGTCAAGCACTCCGCACCCCTCCCAGCCTGGAGTGACCATCCCTACTACCATGTCAAGCACTTCGCGCCACTCTCTGATATTTCCCTATCGCCAGACTCATCTCATCTAGCCTGCCCCTGCTGAATTTCTGTGGGCTGCAAACGAGCTACTCTTTTCTGTATCATGTTAGAATAAAGAAAAAGGGTTCAGTTAGCATTCAGGGACTGACATGAGGGCTCCTAATAATTGTTGCTTATGGTAACTGAGCTCATACTACGTGCTGGGCACTTGGCCAAGTGCTATGGGAACTCTCCCTCAGGCATGACCTTGCGAGAGCCTGGAGAATGCCTACAGCCTTACAAGTGAAAGAATTCCTAATGTCACCAGGTGTGTCCTTCCCTCCCTCTACAAGTGCTGACAGCTCCAGCACCTCGGCTCAGATGCCTCTGCACCACACAGTGACTCGAGGGGCCACCAGCAATCAGTTGTATGGGATTTCTGAGGGAGGAGGGGAAGTGTGGGAGTTTTAAACAGAAAGCCCCACAGGTGTAGGGATTAGTTTGGGGAAGACAGCCATAATTCCTGGGGGCTTGGAAGAGGCTGGGTTAGTGTCTCTAGAAACCAGAAACAATCTCATTAGATGCCGAGATGCCGTCTCTGAAGGGCTTCTGGCAGACTCTTCCATAATTTCTGCTTTCCCTTTCTGGCATTTCTAACATTATTTATTTTTAGTTATAGCATACTGGAATACTAAAATACTTGAGTCAGGGTAAGAACAAATAAAACTTTGTTTTATTTGTGGTGATACAAATTCATGTAATTAAACAGATAAATATTCATTGAGCACTGATGATGTGCCAGGCACAGACTCTTGTTAAGGCGACAGGAAATACATTCACAGTCTATATTAGGGATCAAGGAAAAGATATAGTGTTCATGAAACATTCTACGCTCGAGGAAGACAACAGTGGGATTCAATTAAAACATTCTGAGTACCTTCAATATGACATCTGGAACCTGAAGCAAATTTGGCAAATCCATATCCTTCTTGGATAAAGTCAGAACAGTGGCAGAGGCATGATATCTGAGTGATGAAAGCAAAAGGAAGTTAGAATCAGAGTCTCCAAGCCATGGAGGTCCCAGCTGTTTCAGAGACACGGCTTGGGGACTTGCACTGCCTCCTGCTCCAGTTCTATAGTTCTGCATAGCTCGGACTATCAAGACTCAGGCCATGCAGGCTCGGGTCATGGCGGCTCAGGCCATGGAGCACTCCCATATACACTCAGTCCTCTTAGGCCACTTTAACTTCTCTTTCTCTCTCTCTCTCTCTCTCTCTCTCTCTCTCTCTCTCTCTCTCTCAAACTAACCAACTACAGTCCTAGACGGAATACAAGTAAATCAGGGAAAGATGGCCCCTGAAAGCAAACGTGCACGGATGAAATGCGCCTTAGGTTTCTTCTTCAACGTGTCTGCATGGCTGTGAAATCTTTAACAAAGACCAAGAATGAATCCTTTCATGCCTAGCTGGGCTGCCTGGACTTTATGCCCCTGCACACTCAAACAATTTCCCTCTTTCCCCCACAGGCTATCTGTCACTGGCACATTCCTCCCAGCTGTCAGGTGACATGGAAGATATGGCAGGGCCACACCAGTTGTCTCCGCAGGATTCCCTACCCTTCCACTATTAGGGGCTGAGGCCTTCGTGTGGGGGTGGTGAGACACTGGGCATGCCCCAGCCATCCAAGGAATGGAAACAGGGAGTGCTGTGCCCTGCCAAGAACACCTCTCTTCTTCAGGGAGAAGGGCTTCATTGTTCATTGGTCATGTGAAGGAGCGTGGCGCTCATCAAGTAGCCATTGTTTCATTTTCCTGCCACCTCCCTGGTCCTGGGGGGGTGGGGCGGGGATGAGCTGATGTGAGTTCCTCCACACGCTTCTCAGCTATGGGAATGGGCTGCCTCGGATTTATTATCCCAAAAGTAACCAGGAAAGACAAGAAGGCCAGGTCAGTCCTGCTTTAGCACACAACAATCTCTCATTAACAGGACCTCTGTGTCCTGAGCAGCTTTGGGCAGTGTGGCCAAGCTGGGAGAGTGGTCCTGGGAGGAAGTAGCTTTGTACAGCCCCTTCCCCATCACTTCCTGGGTCTTACAGGCCTCACCTCCATCCTCATACCTGCATTTCCAGAGTGTTTTTGAAGCTGGAATGTTCTGAGATGTATTTCACTAAACATTCCTTTACCTTTTCTAAACCATTCTATTGGATCTGCCTGTCCAAGGGAACATAATACTTTGAGTGCTTTCAACTATTCCCCCAAGGGGTTAGGGAAGTCACTGCCAAGCAAATATTCTGGGACCTGAAACTCCAGGCAAATGAAGAGTTTCTGTCCTTATAGACAGCTAAACATCAATTTTCGTCTTTCTGTTCCCAATAAACTATGTTCCTGCCCTGTCCTCCGAGAGCTGAAAGCACTTCACAGGTCTCGTCCAGCCTGAGTTTGGTGAGGTAAGTAGACTCATTTCTCCAAGCAGAGATTGAGATTGCTGCCTCCATCTTATAGCATAACTGAGAAGAATTTCTCTTACTGCCATATGGAGCATCTAATCACTAAATGTGGCCGAAATGTGGTCAGCAGAGGAGGGGGTGGGGGTTAACTTATTAGGTGTCAAGCACTAACAACGGAACATTTCCATATTTTAGGAAATCCAGCATATCTGGGCCCCAGACTCACTCATCAGAGGCAACACTGACTCAGGCAGAGGGCAGGATGTCACCTTTGGTCAGTTCTCCCATTCATTGCCACCTCTACCTGACCAGCCTCAGTGTGGCCTCCATGTGACTGTCACCAGCATGTGAACTAATGACATAGCACAGTTTAAAAAGATGAATTGTCATTACTCATGATGATTCTTGAGGTATGTCAGCCCTTAATACGTATATTACTTTGTTACTTCTGAAGCAAACCTTTGATTTATAGAACCTTTGATTGCTCATGCCACATAAACACACACACACACACACACACACACACACACACCTGAATAATAGGCACTCAAGCGTTTGCTTTGAAGATACACAAACCCCTCTATCAGCTTGTTGAGAATTATTTTAACGTGCAGACAAAGGGACGGCCCTACTGCAGTGATGTGTTTACAGACTTAAGAATGCACGACAATGATCAACAGGAAAGGAAGCTCTCACAAAGTATGCTTGTCCTAGCTACGCAAGCCTATGAATCAGCCTCTGTGCCTTCCTTGCTTATCCCCCAATGCCTTCCTCCCCTCCCTCCATCATATCTCAACCTACCTTTCTTCCCCCAGAGCAGCCACTTATCATCACACCTAGGGACAATTTCATTACGAAAAGGGGCAGGGATTAATGAAGAACCTAATTATTTTAAATGGAAGATGAAATGCCCCCTACATTCAAATCCTCAGTTTTTTCAGAAACAGAAATACGCTCTGTATTGATTTTGGGCGTGCGGTAGGGTGGGGTGGGAGGCTCATGAAACTGGAGAAGGCCCCAAGTAAAAAACAGCAGCTACTCCTCTTTAAAGACAGGATGTTATAGCTCTAGACTTTTGATAATTGACAGTTTGAAGACTGGAAACTAAACCAGGGGAGGAAAATGTGGAAGTATTTTGAGAGATAGTGTCTAGGTTTGAATAGTGGGGGCAGGAAGGAAGGTTATGTGGGTCTCATTTCCTCTAGCAAGGCCTTTAGATAGCATAAGCTTTGTCCGAGAACTCCAGAGGCATTTCTGATTTCCACGACTTGACCCGGTTTCTCCAGTGATCACATGCACCTCTCCCCCTTGAGGAGACGCCCACTGAGTTCTCTCTCACATATTTTGTCCCCCGAAGCTGGGCATTACCTTCCAGGGATGCTGAGCACCAGAGGCTTGTTTACCAGGCTGGCCTCACTAAGCCAAGGAACCTTGTCGAATTTTGGAACAAAGGCCTAAAGAGAAAGGGGAAGAGACAATTTTGCAGAGGTTATCACACTTAGGAAAAATAAAGATAAATCTTAAAAGAGGACACAGGGCTGGAGAGATGGCTCAGCAGTTAGAAGCACTCTCTCATCTTTGAGACAACCCAAGTTCAGTTCTTAATTCACTCCTATCAGCTCACAATTGCCTGTGACTATAGCTGCAGGGGACCTAGAACCTTTCTATGGCCTCCACAGGTACCTGCTTTTAGGAGCACATGCCTACACACAGATGCATGTGCAGATAAAATTAAAAATAAAATATTAAAACAGTTATAACACTTGACTAGTGCTTGCAGGATGATAAGCAAAGTGAGCTAATAGCAACCACACAGCAATCAACATTCGACAAGGCATTTTTACACCCGAGTCTTTCCACCACCCCGTAAGTGGCCAAGAACAAATATGTGCCCTTTCTGGTTTACAAACCAAGAGTTCAAAGTGAAAATAGTGCTACCTCCTTAAAGCGACACAGTTAATAATGGGTTCATGCTTTCTGACTTTTGTGTCCACTATATCCTGTAATCTAGATATTTTCAGCTCTCTGTACTTACACCTATTCATAAATTCTTTAATATTTCCAGCAATCTCTTGTCCTGATCTTCTAGCCGTGTTTTCAGACCCCAGGCACTCCATCCTCTTTTTTAGGTGGCAAAGTCTAGTAAAGAATCGAGCCTTGGAATCATCCACATTTGGGTATTTGATCTAGTTGCAATTAATATCTAGCTGCTTGACTCTGGACAAATATAAACGTATGATCACATCGTCTCTGTGAAGACCAGTGCCCAGAAAGCTCCATGAGATCGGCGATATGTTTTCTCTGTGTAGTTACTGAGGTCTCTACCATAGCTCCAGGAGCCCGGGCTGTCACCTGTACCTGTAGGAAGGTTTGAATGCATGGAAAGTCCCTTAGCTGAGGCCTGACAATAACACAAGTTCAACAACTGAGGTTGTTATCCCTCTTCCACGGCCCAGAATCTATCCCTGGCTTCTCCTCCCTTGGAGCCGCCAAAGCGCATCCCAGACTTTGAGCAGATCTCCCGAAGAGGAGCCGCCAGTAGAGGGCAGCAGCGTCTCCGTGCCGGACGCTTGGGCGGTGGAGCCCTGTCCACCCGGAAGTGCTCCCCCACAGACGTACCCTCCAACCCCGCGCCCCGGATGTAGAAATCGCTGGGCGACTGCCCATCTCAGTCGTGCACCCCTAGGAGGTCGGTGCAGGTGGGTTCAGGCATCCTTCACGTCGGGCCGGTCCCGCCGAGCCGAGGCTGGGAGAGGGGCGGCGGCGGCGGGAGGGGCCGGCCGGCTGGGTGAGTGGCAGCACCAGACTGGACCATTCCCCGACTGGTGACGCGGACCCCTCAAACCTAGAAGTCCCTGTGCGTGAGGGCAGATTCCAGAGTGTCTGGCTTTTGGAGCAAAATTCTAGCCTGGCCTCCATGGAATAAAGACGGTTCAGCAGGAGGTTTCTTTTTTCTTTCTCATTTGCTGAATGACGTTCATGTTTCTGACTCTTTTGAGTTTTCCTTGCTGCTAAGTAAGGTGATATAACACTTAAGGATGGTAACCTCAGCTAATGAACAAGGGAGGTTTGAGTTCTTGGTTTGGGCTAAAACTGTAGATATCATACTCTTCTGTATGGTGCAGATTATTGTTGTCATGAGGCCGACAACTTACTCCAATGCCTTTGGGAACCTGGTAACAGCGTTGTAACAGCTTTGGATTCTGTCCCTGTCTATTTGCATAACTTGCAAATACAATCATGCAAAAATAGTACATAGCGCCGGGCGGTGGTGGTGCACGCCTTTAATCCCAGCACTCGGGAGGCAGAGGCAGGCGGATTTCTGGGAGTTCGAGGCCAGCCTGGTCTACAAGAGCTAGTTCCAGGACAAGCACCAAAGCTACAGAGAAACCCTGTCTCGAAAAACCAAAAAAAAAAAAAAAAATAGTACATAGCTTAGGTGTATGACTGCCAGAGTTAAGCCTGTGTAGAGGAGATAACGAGAAGCACGAACTTTGATAGTAGACTTCTGTTGGAATTCTGGCTCCACTTTGTTACTCTGGGACAAAAATACCCAACCAATGTGAAACTCAGCTGTTTTACTAGGTAAAGTGGGACGGGTACTAACTTGTAAGGTCGTGACGGTAAAATGCTAACTTTAGCGTTCTGAGTCAGTGATGTTATGCAGATATCAATTGTTAAGATTATATTTTAAAACTTGAGGTGTGATTCTTAATGCCTCAAATTAGGTCACCGTGCACAATTGATTTAGGCTTTCAGTAGACTGAGTTGTTTTGATTGTAACGGAATCCTACCATGACCTTCCCAGGCCTTCATGTATTCACAGATCTCTCTTTTTCTAGGAATTCAGCCGAGTTGTCGTTCCTCACAGAACAAACCCATCTATTGCAGGCCTAGCCTGAATCGCAGCCTTTGTAAACAAGAAAGAAGCAAGCGCCTGAAGGGCATCAAGCATGGCATTTCCAGAGAGGTGTTAATTTGCAGCTTTGTCGAGAGCGAGACTCGCTTGGACTTTTCTGAGGGAGACTGAACCGGCCTGGACTTGGGGAGAGGATGAGATAATGTGCGCTCAACATGTCACGGACACCAAAGAAGTCAAGTGGCAGAAGGTTTTGTATGAGCGGCAGCCCTTCCCTGATAATTATGTCGACCAAAGATTCCTGGAAGAACTCCGGAAGAACATCTACGCCCGGAAATACCAGTACTGGGCTGTGGTGTTCGAGTCCAGCGTGGTGGTCCAGCAGCTCTGCAGTGTCTGTGTTTTTGTGGTGATCTGGTGGTACATGGATGAGGGGCTTCTGGCCCCCCAGTGGCTCTTTGGGACTGGGCTGGCATCCTCACTGCTTGGGTATATTTTATTTGATCTCATCGATGGAGGCGATGGACGGAAGAAGAGCGGGCGGACCCGGTGGGCTGACCTGAAGAGTACTTTGGTCTTCATTACTTTCACTTACGGTTTTTCACCCGTGCTGAAGACCCTGACGGAGTCTGTCAGTACTGACACCATCTACGCCATGTCCGTTTTTATGCTGTTAGGCCATCTCATCTTCTTTGATTATGGTGCCAATGCCGCGATTGTATCCAGCACACTGTCCTTGAACATGGCCATCTTTGCCTCTGTTTGCCTGGCTTCACGTCTTCCCCGGTCACTGCACGCCTTCATTATGGTGACATTTGCCATCCAGATTTTTGCACTGTGGCCCATGTTACAGAAGAAACTGAAGGCATATACCCCACGAAGCTATGTAGGGGTCACCCTGCTTTTTGCATTTTCAGCTTTTGGGGGTCTTTTGTCCATTAGTGGTGTGGGAGCGATACTCTTTGCCCTTCTACTGATTTCCATTTCATGTCTTTGTCCTTACTACCTCATCCGCCTGCAGCTCTTTAAGGAAAATATTCACGGGCCTTGGGATGAGGCTGAAATTAAAGAAGACTTGTCTAGGTTTCTTAGCTAAGCTGGGGACCTTCATTGCAGTATTAAGAAAGCTGAAAGACTTAGAACCTAACCAGTATAACATTTAAAGGCAGAGTTCCACTCTTGAAGCAGAGGGCTGTTCTGGGTGGTATAACAGAGATCAGAAGAAAGCATTTTTTAACCAAGGGCTTAGTGAAGGTGTTTGTTCTTCAGTTATTTTGTGAAAAAGCTTTCTGGTGCCATCATGAATTATTGTCCCTCTTTATTCCTTGTAACAAATAATGTAATGAGGGTTCTGCTTATTAAAAAAGTAACACCCATTGAATTGTCTCATATTAAAAAATACCTGTATTTATGTGTATATGAGAGAGAGTGTGTGTATGTGTGTGTGTGTTCTCTTTCCAGTATGCATGTCCTAGGCATTCAACTCAGGCCTTGGCAGCAAATGTCTTTACCAGCTGGGCCAGCACACTGGCCCAATCTCATGGTTTTTCTGAAAGCATAAGACAGAAAGTGGTATAAAGAGTAGTAGGTGTGTGTAACCAGTTATCTAGCCTTTTCTGTACACTAGGGGCCACCTTTATATCTAGAGCCCGAATTTGAGAGTCCAGGATGGTGGTCTCTGGTTGTCCAATACCACAGAAATCGTTTTAGTTCTTAGCGGATCGTACACATAGCCAGTCAAGGAGAGTGACGTGTCACAGAAACACAATGTTAGAGACATCGAGAGAAGCTGGAGAGAGTTCATCTGAAACCACTAGGCAACAAGAGGTGACATTTACTCTTGGAGGATGGCTGGTGAAAGCCCTTGAGAGCAGAGAAGTGATGTCAGCAAGAACTGGAAGTGATGGAGCAAGCAGCTGTGTCCAGGAGGGCAGCTGCTACTGCTCCCAAAGTGTTTGCTTCTCCTCAGTCTGGGCTTCATGCCTGTGTAATTTCTGAAAAAAATGAATACTTCGATAGCTGTGAATATGCTTTCTATTGTGGAATGAGCCTTGTAAGCTGTCTTAAATTTAATCCAGGTTACAAGCACATTTGTACAAGACATGACTACATTTGATGCCACATCTGTTAGCCGCGGCACAAAGGTGGGAACGTGATAGGGATTTAGAGTTACAGACATCTGGAGGAGGAAAGAAGGCCAGGGGCGAATGAATGGTTCAGCTTGTTGATACAGTCACTTGGGCTCTCTGTAGCCCACTATGAGCAATCCAGTTTGTCTAAAGATGGGGCAATCTGTGACGTCTTGAGTTAGCTGATTGTTCAGCTCTTAGTTTTCATCTTTAAGAACTGTGGCAATTAGATGAGCTGTGTGTGAGTGTACCAGTGCTGAATATCTCAAATGCAAAATTCTGAAACCAAAAATGTTCCAAAATCGTAAAGGTTTTGAGCATCAGTGTTATACCCTGTGAAAAATTCTACACTATATACATTCTACACTGGGCATGAAATCCTCATGCCCAAATTTTTTTTTTTTTTTTTTTTCGAGACAGGGTTTCTCTGTGGTTTTGGAGCCTGTCCTGGAACTAGCTCTTGTAGACCAGGCTGGTCTCGAACTCACCGAGATCCGCCTGCCTCTGCCTCCCGAGTGCTGGGATTAAAGGCGTGCGCCACCACCGCCCGGCCCAAATTTTTTAAGAAACATAAAGTTCTCTTCGTGCTGTACATAAGGTGTACATAAAATAAGAGAATTTTGTGTTTGGATAGGTTCCACTCTCAAGCTATTGTTTTACGTAAAAAATTCAAAATTCGAGGAAAGAAAAGTCCAACATATTTCTGGTCCTGAGCACATTGGATAAGGGACTCCGGGTGTGTCATGATAATTGGAATGTAGGGAAATTTGCAGAGGGCTGTGGCACAAAGTGAAACAGGTTCTTTCCAGAGTGGCTGGCCCCAGCTGGGAGAGCACGCGTCCTGGTACTGTCCTCTGCTGAAAGTCATTCCAGCTTAGAAAGCGAGAGAGCAGCACGCTTGTGCAGCGATGCTTCATGGTTTTCTGATTTTTCACAAATGTCTTGAAAAGATTTTGAACTAAAGTCTGCAGCTACCATCCCATTCTTTTCCTGATGTTTGCTGTGATCGGTGAAGATTGTTTCACGATAAAAATAAAAGTGAGCGATTGTCCCCCAAGATCATTTACACCGTTTTCCGAAACTTAAGGGCCCTTGGTGATGGGGGGAAAAGGAAGCAGGAACTGTCGCATGGAGCCAGCCCCAAAGCACCCATCCACTGTAATGGACTGCGCATTTTGTGCCTTGACAATGGCCCAAATTGTTCCATAGTCCATATCAATGGATGGTAGGTGGATGTAGCAAAGAACTGTGAAGGCTGTGGTGTGCTTCATGTTTTAATACGTTGACTTATCTGAATAGGTTTCCAGTTGTCAGCTTTAGGAAACTCATGGCCGTGGACAGAACTCTTCCAAAGACTGAACCACTTTGAAGAATAGTGGGGCGAATGAATATGTCTGCTGTTTTTTCTAGCTCTTTTTGGTGACTTTTATTTGGACCCACCCAGAACTCCATATTACTCATATTTGTGGTCCTAGAAAGTCAGTGTGGAGGTGATGGGGGGATGGAGAGTTTGGGGTGCCCTTGAATTTGAGGGAGAAGGTGCAGCAGAGACTGTGTACTAATGGAGCTGTAGGAAGAAGTGGTACCTGTGGTAGTTTGAATGGAATTGGCCCTCATAATCTCATAGGGAGTGGCACTATTAGGGAGTATGGCTTTGTTGGAGTGCATTTGGCTCTTTTGGAAGAAGTGTGTCACTGTGGGGATGGTCTTTGGGGTTTCCTATGATTAGGATCCCACCCAGTGTCTCAGTTGACTTCCTGTTGCATGCAAGTGTAGAACTCGTAGCTACTACAGTACCAGATCTGCCTGCATGCCGCCATGCTCCCTGCCATGGTGATAATGGACTGAACCTCTGAAACTACAAGCAAGCCCCCTCAATTAAATGTTTTCCTTATAAGAGTTGCCATGGTCATGCTGTTGCTTCTCAGCAAGAGAAACCCCAACTAAGACAGTGCCACAAGCAGAATCCAGGGTAGGTAGTATCATGTGTTCCAAAGGGACCTAATGCATTCTGGTGGTGGACAGAAGCACAGGATAAAATGGATTGTAAATGACAGGGATTGAGGTCACAGAGAGCATACTATGTATTGCAGTATCCTGTACTCAGTGGCAAACTCAGGGACTTTCCAAAGGAGTTATGCTAAGATACTATATATGAGTATTAGGAAACCTTGTATGCAAGTGAAGTCTAAAAACTGACAGTAGTTTGGAGGCTGAGCATGGAGAGCCCTTGTGGCAATACTGGAGAAAAGTGGGGTCTGGATGGAGAGTATGGCAATGGGCATGGGAATGAGTGGATTTGGTGATTTTTTTAAAAAGGAAATTTGCTAATTTCATGTAGAGAGGAAGCAGAGGTGAGGAGGCAGGATAGGTACAGATACTCTAGCACGAGCTGACTGGTGTGTCTATTAACTGCCATGGGCTAAGCAGTGAGCCCGGGCGCGGGGCAGATAATAACAATGGGATAGGCTACATTTGGGGTTCTTGAGATGCCATATCCAGGCTGAGGATGAGCGGAGCGCTGTGTGCTGCACCCCGAGCCTACTGGCTCACAATCCTAAGCATGCTCTAGGATGGATATTGAGACAAATAGAACCGCATGCTCGTTGTTTTGGAACTGGCGCTGTGTGCTGCACCCCGAGCCTACTGGCTCACAATCCTAAGCGTGCTCTAGGATGGCTATTGAGACAAATGGAACCACATGCTCTTTGTTTTGGAACTGGTTTTTACAGTTTAGTTGTGCCACAAGTGGGCAGTAGTGGAATTGGAAACAGGTGACAGAACGGCAAATTAAATAACCGAAAGGATGAAAATCAAAGGACCGGAGGCAGCCTTCTGAGAATGGATTAGCACTAGAACTCAGCCCAGGAGGAATAGTCAAAAGAGGTGTGACCATGGCCTCTGGCATCACTCAGGGTAGGGCTATATAGTTCACTGGTAGAGATTTACCAAGCATTCCTCAAACTCGGGAAAAAGTGTCAGAGAGTAAAAGCAAATAGGAATCTGTCCACTGGATCATGACTGACAGTAGAGAAAACACTGAAGTGGCCTCAGTGTAAATTTGGGTCAAATGAAAATACAATTTTACCAAATTTCTGCATTTTCTTCAAGAAAGTCTCACAGGCCAGCACTATAAATGAATTCTAAAAAGGATTAGGGAGAATGAAAAAAAGTCAAGCTCTGTTTGCTTTTTACTACTGAGAAATCCTGAGCCCTTACCTGCTGCTATTGGGATGGCAAGACTAACCTGTGGCATGCCCATTTCCTGTGACTGCTGGGAAGTCGCGCCTGGAAAATGATCCATCTGACCTAGTACAGCCTTTGTTGGGAACACTTCATCCCTTAAACCCAGTACTGCAGCCAGCCTCAACTCAAGCCACACTGAAAAGGTGAGGCCATATATTCAAGATTCAGATTTCTAAGGTAAATATTCTATTCAGGGGGACACAACAGGGGACGGAGTTCAGTAGTATTATAATTTTATCTCAAGCTGCCGAGTTCTTGTTTATATCAAAAGCCACCAGCTTGCTTTTCTACCATTTCACTCCTCTCTGAGCACCGCTTCTTATCCTTTGTTGTAAGGTGCAAGGAAGGCTAGAGAGGGACTGTGCAAGCGAGAGCAAGGAGAGGAGGAGGAGGAGGAGGAGGAGAAGAAAGAGAAGGAGGAGGAGGCCCTTTTGCCTACCTTGTTCAAATGGAGCTGCTATAGTTTGGATCTTATCTGTCTGCCAAAGGCTCATGTGCTAAGTGCATGATTCCATCCTTAGTGCTAGATCCTTCAGGGACTAAAGGCAGGGAAGGAGATGGAGT